AAACAGTATAAGGGGAAATAATTGTTTAATTATTAGGTTATTTTGGCTGGTTAACTCACAGGCCTGCAGCTCRTCTTTGGTTAGGTTAAATTTTAAAGAAGCCTAAAGCTAAAATAAATATCAACCACTGTTTACTCCATGATAAGTGTATTGAAATGTTGAGTTGTATTTATTCGCTTTATATAACTTATAAACAACTGCAAATATCTCTCGTGATGTATATGCTGAAACAGGAAGTTTATGTCTACTTCTATACAGTGGAGCTTTAAAACCCGTTTGTTTACATTTTGAACACGCGAAGTGTGTTTTGTCAACCAGTTAGCAAAATATCCAATGAACCACTGAATGGATTTTGATCAAGCTTGCAGAAAACAATCAATGGCTGCAAATCTAGAAMTGWTTAAATTTTGGAGTCATCCCATTTCAAGATGGCCTCTACAGTTAACTGATTGTATCAAATACAGAATTAATTATAACTCAACCAGTTTTACAGATACTATGTGAAAATTTGGTGCCRTAGAAGCTGAGAGTCACTCCCAACATATACTCAAAGCATGATACACTGCACAAGATCTGCACAAACAAAAATCTGTTTTAACTTTGGGCGTCAACCCTGTTTTTCTGTTAGCAAAACATCTCATGAGCTGCTGGACCGATTATAATGAAACTCACCCAAATTAATTATTGGATCAACATTTATAACTGATTACATTTTGGAGTCGTCAAAATTGAAGATGGCCACCTAGCTAGTCAAGAATAGCTTTAAAAAGTGGTTCTGAATCAGTCAGTTTTACAAATATTCAGCTAAAACATGATTTGTTAGTAGCTTTTAGTTCTCACAATCTGAGCGTATCCACTTATGCATTCTTTGCCTTAAAAATTGGCAATAAATTTTACATTCAACACTGTTAGCAAAATATCACATGAACCGCTGGACCGATTATAATGAAACTTTCAGAATATAATCATTGGACATTCATATACAACCGACTGACATTATCAGTCATTCTAACTAAAGATGGCTGCTAGAATTAACATAACTTTGCCAAAACACAAATGGCTAAAGCTTACTCAGAATTACAGCTAATGATGTAAAGCTTATGTGGTAGTAGCTTAGAGTCATCAACACACTGAGCATTACATCTAAAATGTCATGAGAGTTGGTGGGTCACATGCATTCCTTCAAGTAACACAAGGCTTTAATGATTATGGCTGAGCTTTAAAAACCTGATGATTTATTTATTTATGAAGTCATTAACTATATTAATATTATTATTGTAAAAAATGTGATTTAATAAATTACCTGTGTTAGAACCAGGCATTCCCAGTGCCAAGAAACATTAACCTATGGTAATAAGTTAGGCATGTAAGAGGTTTGGTTAGCAAATGAAAACATGCGAGTGGATTGCAAAATACTGACAGGCAACCACTGCATTATCTGAAAGTTTTGATGAGTTAATACAAGTAGCAGGCCTCAGAGTCCTAAAATAAAAAAACCTGGAAGTAGTGAAGTGAAAGAGAAGGTTTACAAAATGGTGGTGCAGATAAAGTATGGAGCTAAATTGGGGTCATACGTTTTGTTCAAAAAAATTGAAACTGAAAAAAGGAGATTTGAAACT